TAAATAGCAAGTAGAATTGAAGTTGTAGTTGGAGCAAATGTTCTTGTCTGGTATTTTCCTTTCTTTCTGTCTTTGCCCTGTGTCCCCCATTGTGTGAAAAAGAGATGCCAGAAAGCATATATCAACAAAGAGTCTGAATGCTTACTCTGAGAAGCAGTAAATTAGGTGCCAAGGAGGACATGAATGCCATTAAGAAGAAATGATCTTGTGTCTAGGAATTATCTGCTTACACAGAATTATCTGCTTAAGACAGTATTTATTTTCCAGGCACATAAAATGTATTCAGCACTTTTCTTTGAATTATAAAGAGGTAAAAGCTTCTTTTCAGTCTGGAATATACATTCACTCCTCCTACCCAGCCTACCTGCTATCTCTTAGGGTCTTCTAAAACTAAGTCCTGCCCGTGTTCGTTGAGTACATACTAAATTCAGATTCGTGCTAGATCCTGGAGGTTCAAAGGCGGAGTCAACCCAGTCCCTTCCCACATTGAGCACACAACTTAGTGGGACAGACAAACATTTTGAACATAAATATTTTGAGGAAAGATAACCACTGTAGCAAAGAGAATGTCTAGGAAAAGAGGAGGCAGGGAGATCTGTGGGAGGCTGTGGTGATTCAGGTTAGGGCAGTGGTAGGCAAACTCATTAATCAGCAGAGCCAAATATCAACAGTACAACGATTGATATTTCTTTTGAGAGCCAAATTTTTTAAACTTAACTTCTAACGCCACTTCTTCAAAACAGACTAGCCAAGGCCATGGTATTTTGTGGAAGAGCCGCATTCAAGGGGCCAAAGAGCCACATGTGGCTCGAGAGCCGCGGTTTGCCGATCACTGGATTAGGGTAACAAGGCCAGAAACCAAAGTGGTAAGGATGACTTAGAGAGGAAAGATGGCTTGAGAGCTTTCTGGAGTTAGATTTGATAGTACTTAGCGATTATGCGTCTGAAGGGCTAAAATAGAATGAGATGTCCGGAATGGTCCAGATGATGGGGGGGGGAAGGGGTGTGTGGAAATGCCACACACCGAGAGGGGGAGTTTAGGAGGAAGATCAGATTCTGGAGGAAAAGTCATGAGAAGGGTTTGGATATGTTGAGTTTGAGGTACCCATGGGCATCCAAACTAAGAGACCTTGTTATCCTCTAGATGAGCTCATGCTGTAGATCATAAATGAAGCCTTGGAGGGAAAGATCTTGCTGGTAAGAATGTGTAGTAGGAGAGGGTTATGGAGAGAGCCCTATGAAATAATAAACTTTAAAAGATAGATGGATGAAAGGGACTCTACAAAAAAAAAAAAAAGATTGGGGAGGAGAGCAGGGTCAGAGGAAGAAGAGTATGGACAAGGAGAGACTGTCCACAATGTTAAATGTTTCAGATGTCAAGCGTGATAGGAAACGAACTATTTCCAGTGGATGCAGAAACCAGGCATCCTTTATGATCCTTGTGAGTTCCATTTCAGTTGGCTGGTGGGAGGAGCCAAAATGGTACATTGATAGTGGTTTTTACAAATGAACCACTCAAGGAAGAGTTTGAGATAAGGTGCTAAGATGGAATATAACAAAAAGTGACTGATATTAAATATTTAAGAAAATCCATAGTAGAGTGTTGGAGCTGAAATGCAACCCAAGGTACAGCGAGGACTAGGACTAGGACTCCCTTATGAGAGGAACTTGTAAATATGCTATAGTTTAAAGGAGAAAACTAATGTCTGAAGAAGAAAAAGTAATCATGAAAGTGATGAATCAGATTGTATATTACTGTGGTGAAATGGAACTACTTGTGTGGTGAATTCATTCTATAAATATTTATTGATAGGTACTGTACTGTTTGCTTAGTATACAAAAAAGAAAAACAGATTCCTTGCAGAGAACATGCTTGCTGAATTTTATAAAGGGACAATACTATTGTTTTTCAGTGACGTCTAGCAGAGTGACAGACAACAAACGTGTAGATATAGTGAGCTATGGAAACTCTGTACTGAAACCAGCCATGTGAATATAGTGGACAGGAAGTCAGTATCTTGTGGGATGATCATGTTGATTTTATTGCTACTTGTGGATATTGTGGTTGCTGCAGTCTGTCCTACCAACTGGTGGCCATAGAGGGGCCACCAGCTGTGACACCTGCCAATGACAGGGCAAAGCTCAGCACCCTTTTGATGCATGAAAGCTACTTTCAATAAATCCCCTCAAAACTCTGGGGGGAAAAAGGAGTTTGGAAGTGAACTTCAAGTGCCTGAGTCTGTGCTAGGATTTAGCACTTCTGGTCTTTATATCTGCTACTCACTCTAGACTGACAACTGAGAGTTAAATTTATCGTGGCAAATCCTATTCAGCAATGGAAGGTTTAGGAGAAATATTTAAGTCTTCACGTCCGTAGTGTATTTAGTTTTTAGAAGGAAAAGTGACTGGGTAAAATGTCAATAAAAATCTCAGATCCTAAATCTTATTCCTTCTGTCTTTCAGCATGTTCTCTTTTCATTGTGTCCTTTCCACTTCACTTAGCCTATTCATTCTGGCATTTCTATCATAGCCTGGGACATTTTCAAAAACTGATATTTTAGGAAAATATTTAGAAATGGAAGCAAAGGATTTTGCTTTGTTTCCTCAAAATATAGAGCTATTATTAGAGAGAATGTAATTCACAGGAGGAGAAAAATTGCTTTTGCTTAGTTTGCTTCCAGAAGTAAGTAGGAAAGAATGAAAATGCCATTATGAAGAATTTTATCTTCTTTGTATGAGAAAGATAATCTGTAACTATGGATTGTGAAGACAATACAGGAAAAGCAAGTCTTTCTCATACAGTTCTCCAAAGTTGCCTTTGAATTCAAAGGGATGAGTTTTTAAAGTATCACATTTTGAAGATTATAACATTTAATGTTTCCATAGCTTGGATTCAAGTAAAGGAGCAATGACTTCAACCTTTTGTGTAAGAACTAAGAATATATTTTTTTAAATGTTGTGCAGTTTAAGTTTAGACATTTCAAATGCCCTGTAATTGCCTGATTTTTTTTCCCCCAACTGGTTTATTAGTATTTTTAGGAATTTTAAACAAAAGACCTTGCATCTTTTTTTTGTGGCATGGATTATTTTTCTCTTTGTGGCATGGATTATTTTTCCCTCTGTGACAATTCCAAGGAATAATCAGATATGTAACAAGTAGTGGCTTGTTTGGGGTTCTGAGGTGCTCCTATGTGTCCTTGGCCTGATGCAGCATCTGGGTGAATTCTCCACGCTGGGCAAGGGGTGGTGAAAGTCACAAAGAAAAGGTCCTTCCTTTCCTGCTGCATGAAGGGTGGGAATTGTTCCTTGTGTCTGTCCCATTGCAGGGCCCAGGGCCTTTTGCTCCCAATATGGTGTAGTTTCACGCATAGACCTTTTCAGTCCAACCTTGGAGAACAAGCTTTCCTATTATTGCTGTCTTCCACCATTGCCCCCACTTTCCCCCGAGGCTATGCTTTGTAAAGCCTCTCTGTCTTTGCCTGGGTTGCTCCCTCAGTGGGTTACCTTTTCTTTAGTGGCACGCCCACCTTCCTCACATGCTCATCAGTCAACTCCTGTTTACCCTTCACTTATCAGCTCCAGCAGAGGTCTCCCTTATCCCCCCCCCCCCCCCCCCCCCCCCGCCCTGTTCTCATAGAACCTCGTAACTACTTCCTTCTCTTATAGGGATTCTCTTATAGGGATTTTCACATTATCTCTGACCCTATTATTATTCTTGGCAGCCCTTTAAGGATGTGGGTATTATCCTATACATCTGTGTTGTCAGTGCTTAGTAGGTGCTCAATAACCTTTTGTTAAATGAATGGGGAAATGAACTTATGACTCAGAACATAACATCTTTTATAATTAATAAAGAGAAATGTTTGAGATGAATAATGCTATTTTATTGTTGTTGTTGAACACCATGGAATTATTTGCTCCCTTTGTAGACTATAGAAAAAATAGTGCTGCAGCTTGTTTTATCTTATTTGGTTGCAATGACTGTGTACAGACATTTGTATTTTTGAGCTAAGGCAGACTAATGTCTCTCAGATGAGTCAACCTTCTTTTTGGTCCCATAGTGAACTTTACTTGAGTCCATATGGTGCCAGTGCTTATGGGAGATTTATAGGGTTCAGCTTCCAATGACTGTATCATTCATGGTTTTATCCAGTCCTCCTCTTGTGTAGGTAAACTATTAATATGTTTATGCTCACTGTTTAAATTGTACAGTTTTTATTTTTCTGAAATTAGTTCTGAGCTCTGGTACTGATATGAGAGATTTACTTAAATATGAAGTAGTTGATTTTAAAGAACAAACCAGGTGTTTATTTTACACTTACAAAACATCTCAATTTGGGCTAGCTACATTTCAAATTCTCAGTATCTAGAAGCATATGAGAGAGAGAGAGAAAGAGAGAGAGAGAGAGAGAGAGAGAGAGAGAGAGAGAGAGAGAGAGAGAGAAAGAGAGAGAGAGAGAGAGAGAGAGACCTTTTGTTTCTTCTTGTCTGAGTGCTGTGGCTAGGACTTCCAATACTAAGTTGAATAAGAGTGGTGACAGTGGACAACTCTTTTCTGTTCCTGATCTTAAGGGAAATTCTTTTAGACTTTCATCACTGAGTATGCTGTTAACTATGGGTTTTTTCATATATGGCTTTTATTAGGTTGAGATATCTTTCCTTTATTCCCACTTTGTTAAGAGTTTTTATGATAAGTGTGTGCTGGTATAGTTATCTTTTTATTTTAATATTTTAGCATATTTTAAACTGAAATATGCGGTAGCATGTGATTGCATGGTTTTAATAAATGCTGCCTTATTAATAAGGCCAAATCATTGCCTTTTCTTCATTCCTGGAAGTTATGGTGCCTGAATTTGATGGTGGGAGTTGAGAAAGGAAGGTTAATCCTGTTTGAAAAGCAATCCCCGGGTTGTGGGTAGATAGCAGTAAGATTCTTTTCCTAAAACACGTTTCTTATTTACTTAGACTATTTTAGGAAGAAAACAAACTGGAACAGAAAAATGAAGCTTCTTCTCTTCACATTTGTTGGTGCTCACCTTTTAGCCTTGAACTCTGGCAAAGCTATATACAGGAATGACAACTCGCAGAGGACTTTCGAAGAAATAAGAGAAGAAATAGCCCGCTATGGAGATGTTGCTAAAGCGATCATAGACCTTGCTGTTTATGGCAAAGCTCAGAACAGATCCTATGAGCGATTGGCTCTGCTGGTTGATACTGTTGGATCCAGATTAAGTGGCTCCAAGAGTCTAGAAAAAGCCATTCAAATCATGTACCAAAACCTGAAGGAGGATGGGCTGGAGAATGTCCACCTGGAGCCAGTCAAAATACCCCACTGGGAAAGGGGAGAAGAATCCGCTGTGATGCTGGAGCCAAGGATGCAGAAGATGGCTATTTTGGGCCTTGGAAGCAGTATTGGGACCCCTCCAGAAGGTATCCTTTGTGTTTTTATTTTTGTGTGTTTTTTTTTGTTTTTCTTTCTTTCTTTCTTTCTTTTTTTTTTTTTTTAAAAGCTAATGTCCTATGGCATAATTTATTTCAGTATTCATGATTCATATTATAATTTGGGTGATAAGAAGGAAAATGTATTTATTTCCTATTCCATTGGTTCAATGAGCTCTACGGTTACACTCTATTTTCTTCCTTCTTCCTTCTTTCTCTTTCTGTCCTTTGTTACTTTAAAAGAAAGATGATTGTGTAGGGCCATTTTTTAAATGATGTACATATAGCTATTGGTACGTGATATTTGTCAGTCCTATCACTTGATAACTTGAAAATTGAGATATATGTTAGGATAGAAAAGCTATGATTTCTTTCAAAGTGGCCTCAATGTACAGAATTTCTTAGAATTGGTGAGACAAGGAACAGAATTGTGTGCACTGAATTGCTTTGAGTTAATTATTTTTACAGAACCTGAGGATTCTGATGCCAGGGTGGCATTCCACCTTTATTTATTAGGACACTGGCTCAGCTTCCTTAGACAATATAAAAGTTTAGATCGGGGAGATATTACTGGTCAACAGTGAGCTATCAGTCAGTCTTGGATGTATTCATGGACTTTTTCCATGGCCGAGTAACTAGTTTATAGAAACTACTTGGCCTTCTCTAAGCATTTTTTTTTAGAAACATTTAATCTTATCTAATGCCAAGAGAAAGACCCAAAAGATAAATAGATGTTCAGTTTTCTTAATCATCCTTTTTTTCATGTAATTCACATACCATAATATTCACCCACTGAAAATACACAATTTAGGTGAGTTTAGTATATTGACAGAGTTGAGCAATTACCACAATAGCGTAATTGTAGACCATTATCATCAGCCCAAGAGGAAACTCATTGCTTATGCCTCTTGTTCCAGTGAGGCTTTTGCCCTTTTTTGATGGATCTGTGTGCAGGTTGGGAAGTGTTTTCAAGTCTGACCCATGTTCTGTTTTGATTGTTTCTGAGTAGGAACATGCACATAACCTTCCCAATAGTTAGGGTTTGCTCTGATCCCAACAAGGCTTTTGTTGGTTGTTCCTTTCCTTGGTTCTTTCTGTTAAACATGCGAATGTTCTGCCATTTTGCTTATTGCTAGTAGCACCATGAAGCTATCAACAACTCAGTAATTGCTTTCTGCCAAACTCTCCACTATTTTCAACAATATCCCGGTATATGGAATTCCCTATGTTCTGCTCCAAATGGAGTCACTCCCTGGGTAAGAACTGAAAATCTCTTTGTCCTCCTTTCTTCCTTCTTTCTTGGGAGAACATCTGTGCTACTTCTCAGGAGGTAGGCACAAAGATAATGGCCTCTTTCTCCAAGAGGATATCTCTAGCAGGTTCTAGACATGGATGTGGTATCTCTCGGTCTCAGCTTGTTTCTCCCAGGTGGAAGCTCTGCCCGTGAGTGGGCTGCGACAGCAGTGATCAGAGACCCAGTATTCTTGGCACCTACTCATGTTGAGGAATGGGACCTCAGTTCTTTTGCAGTAGAGTACCCGGAATAGAGTTTCTGTAACAGGAAGCTGGGAATGGGAGAAGGAATCAGGTCAGGGCCCAAATGCTACACACTCTTATTATTCTAACTCAGATTTAGTAGGTTTTCCTGAATGAATGTTTCTTTCCTCTTTTTTTTCTTTTTGAATATATTTGTTTTTATTGATTTCAGAGAAGAAGGTGAGAGAGAGAGAGAGAGAAACATCAATGCTGAAAGAGAATCATTGCTTGACTCTGAATGAGTGTTTCTTCATTGGTATGCCCATAGGACAATTTTGAAAGACTTTAAGTGACTTTTAAAAAAAATTATTTCCCCAGTTAAATAATTTTGTAAGAGAGATTTGCCAAATTTTTTACACTATCATTTTGGAAGTACCACTGTGATGTCCAGTTTTGATCTCTTTAAGGCTGCATGAATAGGTGGTAGAGTCCTCTAAGGTATCAGGGAGCACCTCAGCCTGAATTGAACAGTGTCAACCAGGAGTTTTATTCAATTGCCTTCTGTTATACAGGAATCTATGTGAGGCACTAACATATATGCATATATATTTTTTTCTTCTCTCTTTTGCTTTTTAAGACATAAAAGTCTAGATTTTTTTTTTCCATGTGAGAAAACCAGCTTCCAAGAGGTTAGGTAGTTTGCTCAAGGTTATACAACTCATAAGAGAGGCCAAGTTCAGATGTGAACAACTGTCAACTCCAGAATTTGTGCTTTTAGTCATTAGACTATATTGCCTCACATACAAATATTTTAATGTTATTTCAATTTATAATATTTAGACATCTGACTGAAGCACATCTATCTCAAAGCTGCTGATAACCTGATGGCAGAATATATTTATGTTTGTACCTTTTTGGGGGGACTCTTTTTTCATTTTTTTCTTATCCTCATTTTTAATTCTGTAGCTGGGCTGGCTCTTCTCTGGCTATCTGCCTGTTGTAGAAAACTAAGCCAACTTACTGATTGCTCCTGGGGCCTTCAAGACCCAAGGGAATTGAATTTTACTTACTGGAATCTATTGTTGTGTTCCAAGACTCATTTTCTCCCCACTCCTCATTCCCTGGGGCTCAAAGTAGATAAACAGTTGTCTGGCAACTGGACTATTTTAAGTTCTGAAGAGACTAGAGAGTTAGGCCAGACCAGGTGTGGAAACATTTGCTCAGGAGAAATGTGAAGTCAGGGTAAAGGGACTTCTAGGTGCAGGGAGTGTGGTGCAGAGCTCATCTCCCAGGAAACCCATATTGTATCCCTGGTTTAGCCCCCTACAAGTTGTGTGACCTTGGTCTAGTCATTTAATGACTTGGCTGGAATATGAATCTGTCAGGTCTCTTCAAAGTTGGATAGGCCGTGATATTTATGAGAATTCACAAGGGATCAGTGAAGCTAGAGTTTATGACAGCAGGATTCTCCCAAGTGTATGCTACAGAGCAGATTGCTTATATAACAAAGGTAATTTTTTTTTAACTTTCCAATTCTAGGCTGGAGTATTATAGTATGTGCTAGTTTATTTGTGTCAGGGGTAGGGCTCTGTAAGATATCTGGGAAGAGTTGGAGGAAAACAAATATACAAGTAGGCCAAGTAAGATGTGATGCTGAGTAAAACAGTCCTAGCTTCATACACTTCTGGTGGGAATGTAGTCTGGTGCAGCCATTGTGGAGAATAGTATGGAGGTTCCTCAAACAATTAAAAATGGAACTTTGACCCAGATATCCTACTTCTAGGAATATATCCTAAGAATTCCAAAACACCAACCAGAAAGAATATGTGTACCCATATGTTCATAACAGTATTATTTACAATAGGTAAGATCTGGTACAGCCCGAGTACACATTTACTCTCCTATCCACACTGTATCTTCATGTTCTGATCTCTGCACTTTCATCTGCTTTGGGTAGTTTTCCTAAATTTGCCAATGTTATGGGCTTTATTTCACTGTTATTTTACTATGTATTCCTTTGCTTATTGGTGAGGTTAATATTTGATAGATTACTTGTATTTTTCTCCTTCAAATTATCTTTGAATATTTCTTGCCCAGTTTTCTGGTGGTGCTTTCACAATGTTGTAGGATGCATAGGAACTCATTACCTAATAAAGATTTAAGTTCTTTCATTGTTGTTTGATTCAAATTGAGATGGTTTGTATTGATCCAGCAGCTCCTTTTTATTTCTTCTTAATAGTTCATTTGTTTCTCATACTTGAGGAGGACTGGCTGGCTGTCAGTGTAGTTAAAAGATAAGAAAAGAGCAAAGTTGATTAATTTCTGCTCCCTCTGCTATCAAAGGGCTCTAAGAAACTGAGTTGTTTAGCTTAATTTACACCGATGTTGGAACATTAACCTCATGATTCATGGTTCACAGATTGGTGGGTGACTTGCTTTTGACTCTGCACACACAAACTTAAGGCCCCAATCTAGGGAGGCTTGGATTTTGAGCTCTGTGCACTGATTAGTACTTCTGCTAGTTCCTGTCAAAGTGTGCGTACCTCATGCCTCTTCTTTATGGAAGTGATTTAGGAAAGGGAGGAAGAAGAGGAAGAGTTAGCCCTAGACTGGGCTCAATGTGTACAGCTGACGAGTAGTTAATGTTTAGTTATGGAACCACTCTACCTGGGTTAAAATTGAAGCAGACATGGTTATATTACAGGATTTTAAGTCCTTTGCAGAATCATTGGGCAAGCTAATGAGGCAGATTTTAATATTCTGGGAATGAATTTGAGAACTGTTCTGTAGAACCAGGCCACCAAGACTGCTGTTGCTTTTCCTAGATGGAGCAGTGGCCTCTGTCAGGAAGCTGCTGTGGAAAATCCAGACATTTTCATAGTTGTGCTTGTCTCTGATACAGAAGAAGAAGAAAAAAACAGCCTCCACCCAGTTTCTACCTTCCAGATCTTGTTCAAGTGCATATGGTTGGTGATGCTTACATTACTTATACCACTCTAGCGTAGGAGGCCCCGGAAGTTTCGTTTTTAGTATTTATAGACAGAAAGGTACATTTAAAGGAGATTGGATTGGACATTAATGCCAATTATCATATCCAACACAGTGCTCATTTCCTTATGACTCTCAATAACAATATATGATTTTTTTTGCATAAATAAGTAAACAAGTAAGTAAAAATGTAGCCATTTGTTATATAGTATAAGTGACATCACCAATAGCAATCCCCTGTAGCTTTAGTGGATTTAATTGAACTAAGAAAATAAATAAAAGGAGAGTAATCATGAGGTGAAGTGGGGGCATATCCCCCTGGCAGATATAGTTTGAAGAAAAATGTTCTAGGCCATCATAAATGTTGCTACGTAAATTAAAGTAGGTTCTCCTTTAACTTTTTACTACTTCCCCTTATTTATTTGCATATTTCCCTTTACTAGGAGTTATCTTAAATATTGGCATTTTCAAAGATTTCTGCCTAAAAACATTATCCTTAAGGAGCATGATCCAGTTCCATGGCTTTA